TATATATATATATATATATATATATATATATATATATTTAAATGAGGGTGAGGGAGGTCTTTAGGGGGCTTCTGGAAAAGCCCAATAAAAAGTTCATTCTCAACAAAAAGAGACACATATAGTGATGAGCTCTTACAATGCTAGACGTTGTCTTGTCTGGGCATGACGCCTGGACCTTTGACAGCTGCCTCAGTACCATGGGGAAACAATGTGATGACGGCAGAGATGGGAGATGAGAGGAAACCGGCTACTTGAATATTCTTATGTTGTTAGTTGCCATCAAACTGGCCTCCAACTCATGGCAACCCCATGCACAACAGAAAGAAACACTGCCCAGTCCTGTGCAATGTCTATGATCAGCTGCAGATCGGAGTCTTATGATCTATAGGGTTCTCTCTGGCTGATCTTTTGGGTGCTTTAAACAGCTGACATGATCAACTCTAAAAGCGAACAACTGCCAGCCATCTAGCTTCATGAAAACACAAATATATATCTTTTAATGACAGTGGATCACAATCCCATCCTATCATATCCTACTACCTGAAAATCAAAACCAACCAATGTACAGGTCCAGGATCCTTCATAAACATTAACCCATATAACACACAGTATTCACAAAACCTTGGGATATTTCATCATCTTCTCTCCACCCAAATGCCCATCATCCGCTCTTCATTGTATCAGATCTGAACAGTGACACTCACCAAATAACCAATCACAAGGGGTACACACGACTCCTGTAGACTGGTACAGAAATTCGCCCAGATACATGCAGTACATTTGTTTAAAACAGGCAAAGTACTGACCCCCATCTTGATGAGCTGTAAGTCCTTTACCTCTCCTATGTCATTTCCACCTACTCTCTACTTCTCTACTGACTATAGCAAACTGGCAACTCCTTTCAAAGTGATTGTTTGAAGAGAAAGAAACATATATATATCATCTCAAAGAAATGAGGTAGCTCCTTCTGAGGCACCAGAAAAAGTGACGAAGTACAACCAGCAAGTGCCTATACCAAATGAACAATGAGATAACCCTCCAAATCTTAAGCTATGGGTGTTGTTATAAGGATTACCAGATGGAAGGAAAAAGAAAAAAAAAAAGTTTGACTGTCCTCAATGTTTATTAAATAAAAAACATGACAGACTTGTTGCTGATATTTTTGATGAAAAGGGCTGTCGCGTAGCCTACACGTTGATATGTGGTCTTATTCGTCCCACCAAATGAGTTGGTGGAGTTGAGAATCAATATTTATTTTAGGGCACGGATTGTTTTATGCTATGCTGGCTTGTATGACATCAAAATACCAACAAAAACAGAATATTCACTATTATAGCTAGATAAGATCAGGAGTTTAGAGAAGTGTGAGCCAGATAGAATCCAAAAAGAAGGCAAGTATTACAGATCTTAAGTGCATTTTCTTGTAAATCAGTTAGAGTAGAGGTCAAATCCCACATCTGGTGCCTATTGGCTGCTTACACTATAGAAGGTCTTCATCCCACTCCTGGGCAAGTTACTCAACTTTTCTGCCTTATCTACAAAATCAGAGTGATACCTACCATAGAGGAGTTGGGAGAGGATTTAAAAACAATGTTTGCGCAGTGCCTGGTCCGTAGTTGCCGTCTGCCGTTGAGTCAGCTTTGACTCACAGTGAACCTGGGTGTGCAGAGCAGAACTGCACGTAGAGGTCTCAAGGCTGTGACTTTTTGGAAGCAGATTACCAGGCCTGTCTTCCGAGGTTCCTCTGGGTGGGTTTGAACCACCAACCCTTCAGCTAGAAGTCAGAGCTTAATTGTTTGCACCCAGTAAGGACTCAACACAGAGCTGTTACTCAGAGGATATGAAGAGGGCCACAGCCTGGTTTCTAAGTAGAGCATAAACTCAGTGCAAGAACACATGTTGTTGTTGTTGTTGTTGTTGTGTGCCGTCTAGTCAGCCCTGACTCATAGCGACCCCTCCTTGGGTTTCCGAGGCAGTATCACTACGGAAGTAGATTGCCCAACCTTCCTTCCGAGGAGTGGCTGGTGGGTTTGAACTGCCAGCCTTCTGGTTAGCAGTCAAGTGCCTTAGCCACTACGCTACCAGAGCTCCCTACAAGAACACATGGCCCTCTCAAAAAACCATCCACATCCCTCAAGGTGCCCAAGTGTGATGCTGAGGCTTGGTTCCTTGCTGACTCAGGCCCAGCCTCTAAAATCTGAGCTGATGACTTCCGTCTCCTTGGCTGGGGACAAAGATTTTGTTTTCTTGAAAGCCATTGGTCCTCGTGCTAGCACTTAAGAAAGGCACTGTCTAATGCACAGCGCCTGGCAAACACTCTGCCTCTGGTTGCTCCTGCAGTAGCTGACTGGCTGTGGCCCGGTCTCCACCAAGAAGTCATGTCTGACCCTCAGAAAAGTCCCTTCCCTCAGTGAGCTTCATGATTCTGTCTGTTCCCTGTTTACAGTGCCTGTAGAGCCATACGTAGGTATGGCAGGTATGACACACGCCCTGGGCGCCACTCGAAAGGGGCGCCACTGAGCAGTTTCTTGTAACCTGGTATGGCCCAATTTCCTTCCTCAAGCACTGTAGACTTCCAGAGGCATGGGGGGGAGGATGAGGAGGAATAGTGAAGGGCATTTGCCCCAGGGTGCAAGTCCAAGGGGGTGCCAGGAAGAGACGCAGAATGGCAGTTCCAGGTACCACAGAGATGAAGGGTGCAAGCATTTCTAATGACCCTTCGCGGCTATCAATGTCTATTCATCCTGAAATTGGGTGGTGGACACAATTTAGAGATTGCTGGGGGCTCTCGTTCCTTGCTACGCCCCTGGGCACAATGGACTCTGTAAAGTAATAAAGAGAGTTCCTAGAATATTCTCAGTATTTCGAAAAGTCTAAAAGAAAATGCACACGTGTCAGCGCGGCTTTGGCTTATGCCCAACAACCATCTCTGAGCTGCAATGATTCTGGCCAGCCCTGGCCAGGAATCCAGTCTCTGAATGACCTTGATTCTCTGCCTAAGGACTGGGGGCGCCTTGCCTTTCCTAGGTCCCAGGCCTCAATTGCTCGCGAATGCGCAGGCCCGGCCCAGCCACCCCTGTCTGGAGCCCTTCTCACTGCCGGGGCGCAGCCCCCATAACAAGCAAAGCCCCCAGCTGCCGATCGAGCACTTCCACTCGCCCGGAGGCGGCCACGAGGTGATGCACCGCCCCCCCCCCCCCCCCCAACCCCGGTGGCCTCGCCCAGCCCGCCTATCTTGCACTTGTCCCCGCCCCATCCGGGCCTCAGACCCCGCCCCATATGCACGCTCTCCCGCTCGTCGCCCTATCCGGGACCGTGTCCGGTCTGGGGGTCCCCGCCTCCCGCGCGCAACCCTATTGTCCGCGGCCCGCCCCGCTCCACGGCCCAGCCGGCTTGCTCCGGTCCCGGGCCTCCCCGTCCGGCCGCCGGGAGCCAAAGTCCTGCGCGGCGACCCTCCGCACCCTGTGAACATGGTGCTGCAAGCGGCGCGGAGCTTAAGGGCCGCGGCCTGCAGCCTGCGCGCGCTCTCGGCGCCGTGCCCCCCGCGGCTCTGGGGGCCCGGGCCGGGCGCTGTGCGGACGCTGCGCATGGGCCGCGCTGTGCTCTCGGGTAAGCGGGGACGGGCGCCGCGGGACCTGCGGCCGCACGTGGGCGACCGGGAAGGTGGGGAAGGAAGGCCGAGAGGAGCGACGGAGAGCGCCTCGCGCGCGGCTCACCCTCGCTGCTCCTCCCGAGGGGAGAGGCGAGCTTCCCCCCCCCCCCAAGCCTATGCCAGTTTAGACCCAGGGTTAGTGTTGGGATCCCGAGGGTCAGCTGGCCGCCCTCACCTCTTTTCAAGTCGGCGTGAGAAGCCACAGTCCATCATTGTCTTGTGGGACTGGAGTCCCGCGGACATGGGCGTCCGTTCCGAGTCGGCAGGTGAGCCGACCGCTCGCTGGCAGGACCAGTCCGGGAAGCAGCATCGCTGAGCTCCACGGGGACAGTAGTTTCTCTCGTGTTTGTGTTCATCGTGAGACCCTGGACGTGGAGACTTTAGTTTACTAAAACGATCAGTAGTGACAGCTCTGAGTATAGTTAAAGCAAAAACGCTAAAAGCAAAGCCGTGAACCCAGAATTTTACTAATAAAGCGAGCATAACATTGAAGGCGCAGCTGTTTCCTAAAAAGAGTGAGATAAAGTCGGCCGGACTCTACAGAAGGCGTTCTTCTGCAGTCTGTCTGGGTCACTGATGGGTGTTGGCGCTGAACTGAGACCGAGCTTAACCGACTTGAAATAACTGGGAGGTCCGTCCATCGATGTCTTCGCACTTGGGCACAGTTACCGCACAGGAAACCAGTTTTCTTACTTTATGGCAAAATACTTCGGGCACTAACCGCACCTTGTAATAAGAATCCAGGCGTCCTAAGAAGCCGAGATCTGTGATGGCTGTTGTCTCACTAGTTCACTGTTTTAGAATCCATTTGGGGCTAGAAGAGTTGACATTTATTCCAAACTCTGAAGCATAAAGATTTTCTTTCCCCTTCCTAATACGCCCTCAGCTATGTTTGTCACACACATCAGTACATCACCAATTTGAATACAGAGGTAAAGCATTTCTAAGATTAAAAAAACTGAATTTCAAGCCCACTTTTTTTTTTTTTTTGGTGTTAAATTATCTCTGTTTGCATTTTCCCCTTACCTGGTTAAATATTGCCCAAAACATTCAATACCCTGATCTGGATAAGCCCCTAGGTTTTGTTTTGTTTTTTTAAATTTCAAAATGATTTCAAAATTGCAAAGTTCCAAGAATTCAAGGAATGCCCATAATCATAAACTCATTAATCGGTTATTAACACCATGCCACATTTGCTTCTCTCCCCCTTTCTGTCTTGATGCACCCCATCCCAACACTTTTCTTGTCCTGATTAATTTTGAGAGTTAGTTGCAAAAATAATGACATTTTACCCATAAATATCCACAGTGAGTCACCAGTTAATCCAATGAATCCTAAGAGCAAGGATTTTCTCTTACATAACCACAGTTACATTATTATAAAAAAGAGTATTGCTTTCTTACATGGTTCATACTCAAATTTTGCTAATTATTCCAATAATACTCATTGCGTTGACTCCCATCCTCATCTAGATCAAACCTAGGCTTATTCATTCCTTTAAATAGGAACACAAAACCAAGCAAACTCAATCCCATCAAGTAGACTGAGAGTCACAGCAACCTATAGGACAGAGTAGAACTGTCCCCTAGGGTTTCCGAGGCTATAAATCTATGGAAGCAGACTGCTACATCTTTCTTTCATGGAGGTGCTGGTGGGTTTGAGCCTTTTGGTTAGCAGCCGAATGCTTTAACCACTGCATCATCAGTGCTCCTTAAAATGGATTTTACTACAGGCAGACCCAGTTTCAATTCTGGTTCTACCTCTTAGGAACCAGGGAATCTTGAGCAGATCACTTAACTTCTAGAGCCTCAGTTTCTGTCACCAGAAAAATGGAGATGATAATATATACCTCACAGTTGGTGGGAGGATGAAATGAAATAATGGAACTGCTGTATGTAAAGTTTGACACATATCAAGTGCCTGGGAGGCACTTGATAAATATGATGTTACTAAATAGTAAAAAATATTTACCAATATTAATGCAAAACATTTTATCTGGCCAGTAACTGTGAAAGGAAGAAAATGTAAAATTTTCATAAATTACTCAAAACTCCTAATATTCTGGAGCCAAGAACTATGTTTTCCAAAGTGTGGTAAGAAAATAATTACCTAATCCCCTGTCCATTATTTTCATGTTGGACCCAGGATTAAAGGAGACTTGGACTCATCATTTTCTTAGCCTAAATAGCATGGTGTAGTGAAAAGACTATGGACTCTCAAGTCCAGGGGACCTGGCTGCATTTTAGCTTAGTAATGTTGCTGCCTTTCCCTCTAACCTTGTGGTCACTCAGTTACTAAATTGAGTGTCAGAGAAACCTTTCTCCCTAAGGTTGTCTTTACAGTTAGGCAAGATGGCAAAGCCAAAATCAAGATAGTAGACTTGAATGGGCTAGAGATTTACAGTTGTCCAGCCTTTACTTTAAAAAGACATAGTGTTTAAATTGCTCATAATTGGTAATTCAGATAGCCAGCTCTAGAGTTGTAGTGAAGCCCTGGGTGGTGCACATGGTTAACAAACTCGGCTGCTAACAGAAAGGTTGGAGGTTCAAGTCCACTCAGATGCTACCTGGAAGAGAAACCTGGATTGCCTTTGAAAAACTCAGCCATTGAAAACATGGAGCACAGTTCTCTGACACAGGGTCGCCATAGGTTGGAACTGACTTGATGGCAACTGTTTAGCGTTGTAACAATGATAGGGAGAAATGAGTGGTAGAACTGAACTATACTAGATATTATGCTCAGAATCCCCTTTACCCAGTGAACTTTAAAAAATGATTACACTCCTTCAACTTTTGAGTGCCTACCATGTGCTAAGCACTGTGTTTAGAACCAGGAATACAAATGCTCTTTCTCATTGTCCTTACAGTCTACTTCCTGGAGGAAACTGAAGAATGGGCTGTTTCAATGCAGTGTGCTTAGTACTGTTAAAATACTAGAGCGCAGGTGATTCAAGGTCAAGTGATTTTACAGTTTGCATCTTCGAATGGTGGTAGCCACTCTCTTCAAGGGCAGGCTTGGATTAGATTTAAATAAAATTTTAGGACTTTAATGAAGGTATAATTATTCTGGGAGGTCAGTTTCATTCGTGTGTTACAATCAAGTTGCAGGGATGCCCTCTTATGTCAGCTCTACCTAAATTAGAGGCACATTAGCCTTTTATGAGCAAAAATCTCCCAAGTCTGTCTTCAGAGGGAAAAAGAGTTGCATAAACCATGTTTCTGTAAGACAGACCAGTGATGGATAACATACGTATGAGAAACGTGCTTTTTTAATTTTTTTTGGCGTGCGATTAAGTAATGTTAGTGCAAAGAAGCCTCCAAACAGTGCACAAATGACATTGTTGCCTAACTGACACCACTGAGATGCCCTCTGTTCACATGACCTCGGTTGCTGCCTGGTTAGTGTTCTCTTGAAAGCCAACAGCAATAGGTCAAACACAAATGAGGTAGTCGTGCCTTTTGACAGCATTGATATGAAAAGTACTTTTTAACAGGTGATGCTATTTTTCTGATATACTCTCTTTCAGTGCGTAAATTCACAGACAAACACGAATGGGTAACAACAGACAATGGTATTGGAACAGTAGGAATCAGCAGTTTTGCACAGGTACTGAATTATCTTGAAATGTCTGTGACAGTCTTCTTTTGCTAAACTGGATTGCCTCTAACGTAAACATTTTGTTTATTCTGCCTTTAGTACTTTGGACCCTTTTTGCATGAAGGGCCCTTAGAAGAAAAGCAATCACAGGTGAAATAAGTAAAATAAAATTAGTGAAGTATGTAGTGTTTTAAAAGATATTGTGAAAGGTAGACACTTAAATTAAGGTAGAGAACATAACATAGTCAATAATAAATTTTTGTTTCATGTGGGGGCAGTTAAGGAAAGAGGAAAAAACAGGCAAAGGCCTGGATTGTTGACAGTCTCTTGTGGGTGTGGGGATACACAACCGGGGGACATGAAGAAGAAGGAAAACCTAGATTGGCACAGATTACAAAAAGGGGACTGTTTAGGCTATCTTTCCTTATTAATTCCCTGATTCCCACTGATCCCATAGTGAGATGTTAAAATGAGAAGGAAATACCAGCAAAGGTCAGTGATTTTGCACTGGATGTATGTTTGGTAGGATTTGGGGGGGGGGGAGATGTCACTGTACAAGATGTGGTCCTTGCTCTTCTGGACTTTATCTGTCACTTACATGGAAAATAACACACAAAACATGACATGATAGAGATATCACATGAATTGTACAAGGGGCTGTAATTCACTCACCTGATGGAGAGATCACTTCTTAATGGAGTCAGGAGGTCTTCAGGAAGTACAAGGCAGAAGACTAGGCTTTATAAAATCAGTGGCTAGGGTTCCAGCAGATTTATAAGGGACACCATCTGCAGAGGTGCAAAAGCATAAAGTGTATTTTGAAAGGAGTTAGTAATCTTGTTGGGGTATATGGTTTGTGACATGGGTCAATGAAGCCCATGGGCCAAACCCAGCTGGTGGCCTGTTTCTTACAACCTCTGAACAAAGAATAGTTTGGACATCAAAACACTGTAAGAAAACACAAATAATGGGGCTCCTCCTCGAGCATAAAATGTGTACTATGTGGCCCTTAGCCTCTGGTAGCACAGTGCCTAAGGCATTTGACTGCTAACCAGAGGGTTGGCAGTTCAAATCCATTAGCCACGCCGTGGAAGGAAGATGGGGCAATCTACTTCCACAAAGATTTACCGCCTCGGAAACCCAAAGGGGGTTGCAATGAATCAGAATCAACTCAATGGCAGGGAGTTTGGTTTGGTTTTTGGTGTGTGGCCCTTTACTGAAAAAATTTGCCACTCCTGAATTGTAGTGTATTCAGTATTTGCATTTTTCCTATTTATGGGGGGCAGGGTGTCCTGAATTGATTTCCTAATGATTATTTATCTGTTTTAGGAAGCTTTGGGAGATGTGGTTTACTGTAGTCTTCCTGAAGTTGGGACAAAGTTGAACAAACAAGGTGAGTACTTTTCTCATCTTGGTATGTGGCATCAATTTTCTTTACCTGATCTTTATTCTGATTAATAACTTCTTTGCACTCAGGATCAGTTAGAGTGCTTTTAACTCAAGTCACAGAATATTAAAACATAATTGGGGCTTATTATCATCTCATTCACACACTCTGAATAGGTAAATATATGGTTGGTCATTGGCTTAGTGGAAGTCATCAAGGATGTAGTCTCTTCATTCTCTTTCTGGCTCAGTCTGAAACAGGTTACAGATGGCTACGAATTCTTTTAAGTATCATCCTCTTTTTTTTGGTTTCCCTTGTATTGTATTTTCAGGGATGACAAAACAGGCTAGGTTCCTATTCAGCAATGTGCACACAAGTTCAGTGACATTGGTCAAGGGTCACCTTCTTAAATGACAGTATCAAGAAGTTTAGTGGGGACTCTCTACCGTCAAGGAGGGCCTGGAGTGGAACATGTCCTTTGGACCTGGGGTTCCTGCACAGAGAACCTCCTGGCCACAGGAGAGGGAGCTGCAACACTGATGATGGCGTGAGAAAGAAATGGTGGAAACCCAGAGCTCTGAGTGGGGCAGCTGCAGTGGGCCTGCCGGCCTACAAATGACAGAGAGCTGAGCCTTCGGGCAGGAGGCTTGCTGGTAGAGTGAGGTGCCTCCTGGGCTTGAGCTGGTGGAGCTGAAGGTCCTCCTGCCTGTCGCACAGCGAAGAAGCTAAGAGCTGTTGTCTTGGTTGGAAAAGGGGCAGATTACCCAGTCTGCAAGGCAAGCACAGACTTACTTTTGCTTCCTTACTGATCTATAGTGAACAGTTTTAATTTCGTACTTACTAATCTGTAGTGAACAATTTTACATAATGAGCATGTGAAACTATTCACTACAAGTTAGTAAGTAGCACAAGTCAGCCTACACTTACCTTGCTTACTGGGTATTCCATCCCTGTCAGGGATTTGAAGAGAGGCTTTGATTCTGTAGGAAGGTATTGGGGGGGTGGGACAGAGGTAGATGCCAACCATATCTGGAGGCAGAATCTTTGATGTGGTGAAAGAATGTGAAATTGTTTACTGCAGATTAGTAATTAAGCATAAGTAAGCCTGTGTATACCTTGTTTATTGAGTAATCCACCTCTGGGTTGGAAGCTATCCTGACTAATTTTATCCTCTCTCCTGAGTTGTATCCTGTTACTTGACAAAATTGATTCTGTTGCCAAATTGTTACTTTCCTAATAAACCACATAATCATGAGTATGGTCTGTGAGTTGTGTGGCCACTGCAACCACTTATGGAAACTAGCAGAGAAGTAGAGAGTGATGGGGGTAGGGGACGACTGGTGTCAGAAATGGTGAAAAGGTTGAAAGTGGAGGTAAGTCTGACTTCCACCTCCTAGAAATCAGCTTGGTACTGATCCTGATCCTTAATCACTCATAGATCTAGACAGGTTCTGATGGTAGATGTCACGTGTTTGATAGAAGTACTCAGTGAACAAATTTAACAAAACTACATTCAGATTTTCTGTCATCTTACATTGGTTTTATAAATTGTATTTTTTGAGTAAGTTGTCAAATGTTAATATTTATTAGCCTTTCATATCTATAGGGTCAGTGGTGGTGTTGTTATTGTTAGGTGCTGTTAGTCAGCTCTGACTCATAGTGACCCAGTGTACAACAGAACAAAACACTACCCGGTCCTGGGCCAGCTCATCGTTGCAGCCACTGTGGCAATCCATCTCATTGAGGGCCTTTCCCTTTTTCACTAACCCTCCACTTGAGCAAGGCATGATATTATTCTCCAAGGAATGGTCCCTTCTGACAACATGACTGAAGTAGGTGAGATGAAGTCTGGCCATTTGTGCTTCCAAGGAGAATCCTGGCTGTGCTTCTTCCAGATGGATTTGTTTGTTCTTTTGGCAGTCCATGGTATTTTCAGTATTCTTCACCAGCACCACAACTCAAAAGTACCAACTCTTTTTTGGTCTTCCTTATTAATTGTCCAGCTTTCATATGCATATGAGGTGACTGAAAACACCATGGCTTGGGTGGTGGTTGTTGTTGTTGCTATGTGCCATGGAGTCGGCCCCGACTCATAGCAACACCTCCATGGGTTTCCGAGGCAGTATTACTACAGAAGTAGATTGCCCCATCTTCCTTCTGAGGAGTGGCTGGTGGGTTTGAAGTGCCAGCCTTCTGGTTAGCAGTCAAGTGCCTTAGGCACTATGCTACCAGAGCTCCTCATGGCTTGGATTAGGCGCACCTTAGTCGACAAACACTTCATTGCTCTTTGGCACTTTAAAGAGGTCTTTTGCAGCAGATTTGCCCAGTGCAATACATCTTCTGATTTCTTGACTGCTGCTTCCATTGATGTTGATGATGGAACCAAGTAATATGAAATCTTTGACAACTTCTGTCTTTTCTCCTTTGATCGTGATGCTGCTTATTGGTCCATTTGTGACCATTTTCATTTTCTTTATGTTGAGGTATAATCCATACTGCAGACTGTAGTCTTTAATTTTCATCAGTAAGTGCTTCAAGTCATCTTAACTTTCAGCAAGCAAGGTTGTATCATCTGCACATTGCACGTTGTTAATGAGTCTTCCTGCAGTCCTGATGTCACATTCTTCTTCATGTAGTCCAGCTTCTCAGGTTATTTGATCAGCATACAGATTGAATAAGTATTGTGAAAGGATACAACCCTGACACACTCCCTTTCTGATTTTAAACCATGCATTATCACAATGATCTGTTTGAATACCGGCCTGGTCTGTGGACAGGTTCCTCATGAGCATAATTAGGTGCTCTGGAACTTCCATTCTTCTCAGTTTTATCCAGTAGTTGTTATGATCCACACAATCGTATGCTTTTGCATAGTCAATAAAACACAAGTAAACATCTTTCTGGTATTCTTTGCTTTCAGTCAAGATCCATCTGACATCAGCAATGATATCCCTCGTTTCCACATCCTCTTCTGAATCCAGCTTGCATTTTCAGGAAGCTCCTTTTCAGTATACTGCTGCAACAGTTTCTGGATTACGTTTAGTAAGATTTTGCTTGTGTGTGATATTAATGATACTGATAATTTCCACAATCTGTGGGATCACCTTTCTTTGGAATGAGTATAAATATGGATCTTTTACTCATTTGGCTAGGTAGCTGTCTTCCAAATTTCTTGATGTCATCCCAAAATTTATCTGGTTTTCGGTCATTGGTGTTCAGTGCATCAAATCTGTTCTTCAGATGGTCTCTAAATTCAGGTGGGATATAACCAAGGTCATGAATTTGTTTCAGTCGTCTTCAGCTTCAACTTGAATTTGCATATGGTAGTTGATGGTCTGTTCCACAGTCAGTTCCTGGCCTCATTTGGCTGAGGTGCTTCATTGCTTTTTTCCACAGATGTTGTTGCTCTGATTCCTGTGTATTCCATCTGGCGAGGTCCATATTTATAGCCACTGTTTATGTTGTTGAAAAAAGATATTTGCAATGAATAAGGCGTTGGTCTTGTAAAACTCTATCGTGTGATCTCCGGCATCAACTTTATCACCATGGCCGTATTCTCTAACTACTGGTGATTCTTCTTTGTTTACAACTTTAGTATTCCAGTCACCAGTAATAATCAATATATCTTTTTTTTTTTTTTT